GCAGGGAAGGACCCTCTTGCAGAGGAGCACCCTGTTGCACAGGAGTCTTCAGTGAGTCGTACCCAGGGGAGGACCCTGTTTCACAGGAGTCCTGGGCGTGTCTTACAGAGTGAGCACCCTGTTACACGCGAGTTCTCTGCGTGTCGTACCCAGGGAGGACCCTATTGCACAGGAGTCCTCTGTGTGTCGTACCCAGGGGACGACCCTGTTGCACAGGAGTCCTCGGCGTGTCGTACCCAGTGAGCACCCTGTGAGCACCCTGTGGCACAGGAATCCTCGTACCCAGTGGAGGACCCTGTTGCACAGGAGTCCTCGGCTTGTCGTACCCAGTGAGCACCCTGTTGCACACGACTCCTCGGCGTGTCGTAACCAGTGAGCACCCTGTTGCACAGGAGTCCTTGGCGTGTCGCACCCAGTGAGCACCCTGTTGCACACGAGTCCTCTGCGTGCCGTCCCCAGGGGAGGAGCCTGTTGCACAGGAGTCCTCTGCATGTCTTACCGAGTGAGCACCCTGTTGCACACGAGTCCTCCGCGTGTCGTACCCAGTGAGCAACCAGTTACACGCGAGTCCTCTGCGTGTCGTACCCAGGGGAGGACCCTGTTGCACAGGAGTCCTTGGCGTGTAGTACCCAATGATCACCCTGTTGCACACTAGAGCTCGGTGTGTCGTACCCAGGGGAGGGCCCTGTTGCACGCGAGTCCTCTGCGTGTCGTACCCAGGGGAGGAGCCCGTTGCACAGGAGTCCTCTGCATGTCGTACCGAGTGAGCACCCTGTTGCACACGAGTCCTCGGTGTGTCATTCCAAGTGAGCACCCTTTTGCACACGAGTCCTTGGCGAGTCGTACCCAGTGAGCACCCTGTTGCACAGGAGTCCTCGGCGAGTCGTACGCAGGTGAACACCCTGCTGCACAGGAGTCCTCGGCGAGTCGTACGCAGGTCCGCCGCGTGTCGTACCCTGGGGACGACCCTGTTGCACAGGAGTCCTCGGCATGTCGTACCCAGTGAGCAGCCTGTAAGCACCCTGCGGCACAGGAGTCCTCGTACCCAGGGGAGGACCCTGTTGCACATGAGACCTCGTCTTGTGGCTTCCCCTCGGTTAGGGCAGGACCCTGTTGCATAGGAGTCCTCGGCATGTCGTACCCAGAGGAGGACCCTGTTGCACAGAAGTCCTCTGCGTGACGTATCCAGGGGAGAAACCTGTTGCACAGGAGTCCTGTGCTTGTCGTACCCAGTGAGCACCCTGTTGCACACGTGTCATTGGCATGTCGTACCCAGTGAGCACCCGGTTGCACAGGAATCCTCTGCGAGTCGTACGCAGGTGAGAACCCTGTTGCACAGGAGGACCCTGATCACAGGAGTCCTCGGCGTGTCGTACACAGTGAGGACCCTGTTGCACAGGATTCCTCGGCGTGTCGTACCCATGGGAGGACCCTTTGCACACGAGTCCTCTGCGTGTCGTACCAAGGGGACGATCCTGTTTCACATTAGTCCTCGGCGTGTCGTACCCAGTGAACACCCTGTTGCACAGTAGTCCTCAGCGTGTTGTACCCAGTGAGCACCCTGTTACATGCGAGTCCTCTGCGTTACGTACACAGCGGAGCACCCTGTTGCACAGAAGTCCTCGTCGAGTCGTACCTATGGGAGGACCCTGTTGAACAAGAGTCCTTGGCGTGTCGTACCCAGGGGAGGAGCCTGTTGCAGAGGAGTCCTCTGCGAGTCGTACCCAGTGTGCACCCTGTTGCACACGAGTCCTCGGCGTGTGGTACCCAGTGAGCACCCTGTTCCACAGGAGTCCACTGCGAGTCGTACGTAGTTGAGGACCCTGTTGCACAGGAGGACCCTGTTGTACAGGAGTCCTCGGCGAGTCGTACGCAGGGAAGGACCCTTTTGCAGAGGAGCACCCTGTTGCACAGGAGTCTTCAGTGAGTCGTACCCAGGGGAGGACCCTGTTTCACAGGAGTCCTGGGCGTGTCTTACAGAGTGAGCACCCTGTTACACGCGAGTTCTCTGCGTGTCGTACCCAGAGGAGGACCCTATTGCACAGGAGTCCTCTGTGTGTCGTACACAGGGGACGACCCTGTTGCACAGGAGTCCTCGGCGTGTCGTACCCAGTGAGCACCCTGTGAGCACCCTGTGGCACAGGAATCCTCGTACCCAGTGGAGGACCCTGTTGCACAGGAGTCCTCGGCTTGTCGTACCCAGTGAGCACCCTGTTGCACACGACTCCTCGGCGTGTCGTAACCAGTGAGCACCCTGTTGCACAGGAGTCCTTGGCGTGTCGCACCCAGTGAGCACCCTGTTGCACACGAGTCCTCGGTGTGTCGTACTCAGGGGAGGACCCTGTTGCAGACGAGTCCTCTGCATGTCTTACCGAGTGAGCACCCTGTTGCACACGAGTCCTCCGCGTGTCGTACCCAGTGAGCAACCAGTTACACGCGAGTCCTCTGCGTGTCGTACCCAGGGGAGGACCCTGTTGCACAGGAGTCCTTGGCGTGTAGTACCCAATGATCACCCTGTTGCACACTAGAGTTCGGTGTGTCGTACCCAGGGGAGGGCCCTGTTGCACGCGAGTCCTCTGCGTGTCGTACCCAGGGGAGGAGCCCGTTGCACAGGAGTCCTCTGCATGTCGTACCGAGTGAGCACCCTGTTGCACACGAGTCCTCGTGTGTCATTCCAAGTGAGCACCCTTTTGCACACGAGTCCTCGGCGAGTCGTACCCAGTGAGCACCCTGTTGCACAGGAGACCTCGGCGAGTCGTACACAGGTGAACACCCTGTTGCACAGGAGTCCTCGGCGAGTCGTACGCAGGTCCGCCGCGTGTCGTAACCTGGGGACGACCCTGTTGCACAGGAGTCCTCGGCATGTCGTACCCAGTGAGCAGCCTGTAAGCACCCTGCGGCACAGGAGTCCTCGTACCCAGGGGAGGACCCTGTTGCACATGAGACCTCGTCTTGTGGCTTCCCATCGGTTAGGGCAGGACCCTGTTGCATAGGAGTCCTCGGCATGTCGTACCCAGAGGAGGACCCTGTTGCACAGAAGTCCTCTGCGTGACGTATCCAGGGGAGAAACCTGTTGCACAGGAGTCCTGTGCTTGTCGTCCCCAGTGAGCACCCTGTTGCACACGTGTCATTGGCGTGTCGTACCCAGTGAGCACCCGGTTGCACAGGAATCCTCTGCGAGTCGTACGCAGGTGAGGACCGTGTTGCACAGGAGGACCCTGATCACAGGAGTCCTCGGCGTGTCGTACACAGTCAGGACCCTGTTGCACAGGATTCCTCGGCGTGTCGTACCCATGGGAGGACCCTTTGCACACGAGTCCTCTGCGTGTCGTACCAAGTGGACGATCCTGTTTCACATTAGTCCTCGGCGTGTCGTACCCAGTGAACACCCTGTTGCACAGTAGTCCTCGGCGTGTTGTACCCAGTGAGCACCCTGTTACATGCGAGTCCTCTGCGTTACGTACACAGCGGAGCACCCTGTTGCACAGAAGTCCTCTGCGTGTCGTACCCAGGGAGGAGCCTGTTGCACAGGGGTCCTTTGCGTGTCGTACCCAGGGAAGAAGCCTGTTGCACAGGAGTCCTCGGCGTGTCGTAGCCAGTGAGCACCCTTTGAGCACCCTGTGGCACAGTAGTCGTCGTACCCAGTGGAGGATCCTGTTGCACACGAGTCCTCGGCGAGTCGTACGCAGTGTGCACCCTGTTGCACATGAGTCCTCGGCGTGTTGTACCCAGTGAGCACCCTGTTACACGGGAGTCCTCTGCGTGTCGTACCCAGGGAGGAGCCTGTTGCACAGGAGTCCTCTGCGTGTCGTACCCAGGGAAGAAGCCTGTTGCACAGGAGTCCTCGGCGTGTCGTACCCAGGGCAGAAGCCTGTTGCACAGGAGTCCTCGGCGTGTCGTACCCAGTGAGCACCCTGTGAGCAACCTGTGGCACAGGAGTCCTGGTACCCAATGGAGGACCCTGTTGCACAGGAGTCCTCGGCGTGTCTTACCCAGGGGACGGAACTGTTGCACAGGAGTCCTCGGCGTGTCGTACCCAGGGGACGACCCTGTTGCACAGGAGTCCTCTGCGTGTCGTACCCAGTGAGCACCCTGTGAACACCCTGTGGCACAGGAGTCCTCGTACCCAGTGGAGGACCCTGCTGTACAGGAGTCCTCGGCGTGTCGTACCAAGGGGACGGAACTGTTGCACACGAATCCTCGGCGAGTCGTACCCAGTGTGCACCCTGTTGCACACGAGTCCTCGGCGTGTTGTACCCAGTGAGCACCCTGTTACATGCGAGTCCTCTGCGTGTCGTACCCAGGGAGGAGCCTGTTGCACAGGAGTCCTGGGCGTGTCGTACCCAGTGAGCACCCTGTGAGCAACCTGTAGGCACAGGAGTCCTCGTACCCAATGGAGGACCCTGTTGCGCAGGAGTCCTCGGCGTGTCTTACCCAGGGACGGAACTGTTGCACTGGAGTCCTCGGCGTGTCTTACCCAAGGGACGGAACTGTTGCTCAAGAGTCCTCGCTGTGTCGTACCCATGGGATGACCCTGTTACACAGGAGTCCTCGGCGTGTCCTACCCTGTGAGCACCCTGTTGCACACGAGTCCTCGGCGTGTCGTACCCAGTGAGCACCCTGTTACACGCTAGTCCTCTGCGTGTCGTACCCAGGGGAGGACCCTGTTGCACAGGAGTCCTCGGCGTGTCGTACCGAGGGGACGACCATGTTGGACAGGAGTCCTCGGCGTGTCGTACCCAGGGGAGGACCCTGTTGCACATCACTCCTCGGACTTTGTGTAGTCTGACAACCGTTTATCCAGTTTAACCATGGCACGCTCACGTTGTTGATTTGTGAGTCGATACATATTCGCGTTTGTTTAAACTTTTGTTGATTATACTTCCTCAGTATTCTCTGCATCCTATTATCTTGATGGTGGGGGGGTGGGGGGGAAAGGCTTTATTGAATCGTAACACTGTGATTTCCTTATGTGTTGAATATGTCCATTGTGTTTCCAGATGCAAAGTTCGGAGTCAAGTGAATGGTGCATGTAGAGGACCAGGTAATATGAACGATTATGTACCAGAAGGTGATTTTATATATTTATAATTTAGTTAGTTGTTGTATGTTTGTTTTCTATCATAATTTTATGTCTATTAATTTCAGTTGAGTTGTCATGTTCCTTTACCCTATCTGAAATGCGGATCTGTGGGATGCAATGTCCGAAATCAATAAGGTAATAGATTATCTCAGGATAGAATAAATACTTTGCCGTTGTTCTGACTATGTTATCATATCGGTCAGTGAGTACTTATAGGAAAAAGTCTATATCCATTCATAAATGCCTGACTCAAGCAAAATTTCATCTAACATTGCCCTGGTGAAGAAAAACTAAAACTAATGAATTACCTCTTTTAGTCAGAGGCGGAGGCCACTACTAAGTTTGACGCCTCCGTGATCATAATTAGGTACCTTGCATTATCAGTGGTGATCAGGGACTGTGTGACAATATAAGAAACAGATACAGCCAACAACACGAATTTTCAATGCATCATGTATACTAGCAAGATTGAAGGTTATTACTGTGTCTTGCAGGTGCGACTTCGTGGCGGAATTCAATAAATGTAAGTATTGGCGATTCAGTTGACGAGGAGGAAGTGCTACGTTTTCATGGATCATTAGGGGCGGTGGGGTAGCCTAATGGTTAAAGCGTTGGCTCGTCACGCCGAAGACCCGGGTTCGAATCCCCACATGGGCACAATATGTGAAGCCCATTTCTGGTGTCCCCTGCCGTGATGTTGCTGGAATATTGCTAAAAGCGGCGTAAAACCAAACTCTGTCAGTCAGTCAGTCATGGATCATTAAGTATCCACAACTTGTCTGGTCCTTGGTACAATGTGTGAAGCCCATTCAGGTGTCCCTCGCCGTATATATTACTCAAGGTTGTGTAAAACCATACTCACTGACTGTCTCGTCCTGTGTTGCAGGCCCACGCAACGGGACTATTAATGAAAATGAATTACAAATACAAACTAAATTACAAACTGAATTTCAAACTGAAATAGAAACTGAAATACAATCTAAATTACAAACTGAAATACAATCTGAAATACAATCTGAATTATAAACTGAATTACAAACTGAAATACAATCTAAAAAACAAAGTGAAATACAATCGACAAACTGAAATACAAAGTGAAATACAATCTGAAATACAATCTGAAGTACAAACTGAATTACAAAGTGAAATACAAATCTGAATTACAAACTGAATTACAAACTGAAATACAAACTGAAATACAAACTGAATTACAAACTGAAATACAATCCGAATTACAAACTGAATTACAAACTGAAATACAATCTGAATTACAAACTGAAATAGAAACTGAAATACAATCTGAATTACAAACTGAAATACAAACTGAATTACAAACTGAATTACAAACTGGAATACAAACTGAAATACAATCTGAATTACAAACTGAAATACAATCTGAATTACAAACTGAAATAGAAACTGAATTACAAAGTGAAATACATTTTGAATTACAAGCTGAAATACAAACTGAAATACAATCTGAAATAAAACTGAAATACAATCATAATTACAAACTGAAATACAATCTGAATTACAAACTCAAATACAAACTGTAATACAATTTAATATCAAGCTGAAAAACAAACTGAATTACAAACTGAAATACAATCTGATAGACAAACTGAAATACAAACTGGAATACAAACTGAATTACAAACTGAATTACAAACTGATATACAAACTGAAATACAATCTGAAAGACAAACTGAAATACAAACTGAATTACAAACTGAATTACAAACTGAAATACAAACTGAATTACAAACTGAATTACAAACTGAAATACAAACTGAAGTACAAACTGAATTACAAACTGAAATACAAACTGAAATACAATCTGATAGACAAACTGAAATACAAACTGAATTACAAACTGAATTACAAACTGAAGTACAAACTGAAATACAAACTGAAATACAATCTGATAGACAAACTGAAATACAAACTGAAATACAAACTGAATTACAAACTGAATTACAAACTGAAATACAAACTGAATTACAAACTGAATTACAAACTGAAATACAAACTGAATTACAAACTGAAATACAAACTGAAATACAAATTGAATTACAATCTGATATACAAACTGGAATACAATCTGATATACAAACTGAAATACAAACTGAATTACAAACTGAAATACAAACTGAATTACAAACTGAATTACAAACTGAAATACAAACTGAATTACAAACTGAAATACAATCTGAATTACAAATTGAAATACAAACTGAATTACAAACTGAATTACAAACTGAAATAGAAACTGAATCACAAACTGAAATACAAACTGAATTACAAAGTGAAATACAATTTAAATTACAAGCTGAAACACAAACTGAAATACAAACTGAAGTACAAACTGAATTACAAACTGAATTACAAACTGAAATACAAACTGAATTACAAAATGAACTACAAACTAAATTACAAACTGAATTACAAACATATATTTTCTAGGAAATGGTCCCGTTTTGAAATTTGACAGTTTTACAAGTAATAATGTAATAAATTAAATTAAATATCATTAAGAAATAGTTCGTTGATCGTTTCTTTCTTCAAACAATGATGTTCATGACACATTGAGTGAGTGAGTATATATTCACGTCGCAAAATGAACTACAAACTAAATCACAAACTGAATTACAAACATGTATTTTCTAGGAAATGGTCCCGTTTTGAAATTTGACAGTTTTACAAGTAATAATGTAATAAATTAAATTAAATATCATTAAGAAATAGTTCGTTGATCGTTTCTTTCTTCAAAGAATGATGTTCATGACACATTGAGTGAGTGAGTATATATTCACGTCGCTATTAGTACACCAGAAATGGGCTTCACACATTGTACCTATGTGGGAAATCGAACCCGGGTCTTCAGCGTGGCGTGCTAACACCTTAACTACTGGACTACCCCACCGCCCTCATGTCGCAGAACTCGGCAAGCAACAAATGAATTGGTAATGTTGTAGCATCTGTGATTTCTGAGCAATAAAGCTATCTGTGTTTGTGTAAAGGTACAAACATTACCCAAAACAGACATGTGAAGCATAGGGTAATCAACGCGGCAAAAACAATAGGACATGCTACAAACCTTTAACATCACTCTCCATTACAAGGTACAACAGAGATCAATGATACAACATCAGCCACAACCACCAGTGATACAACCACGTCCACTGCGGCCTCAACCACAACCACCCGTAATACAACCACGTCCACTGCGGCCTCAACCACAACCACCCGTGCTACAACCACTACCACTGCGGCCTCAACCACAACCACCCGTAATACAACCACTACCACTGCGGCCTCAACCACAACCACCCGTAATACAACCACTACCACTGCGGCCTCAGCCACAACCTCTGGAGCTACAGTCTCCAGTAAAACCTCTCAACCAACTGGTCCAGCCAAGGGTACTACAGCCTCTACTACAACTCATACAGCTTATGTAGTCACAGTTCTGTTGAATGCCATGAGTCAATGGGGAATTGATCAAAATAGTACATAATTTATATCAGGAAAGTATTTATAACGAATTATCAACTGAATCTTTGTCATAATCATTCCGTACGCTTTCACACACAAGCGGGACTCACCTAAGATGGGAGTGCTCGTCGGAGCTGTCGTTGGAGGACTCGTTGGAGGTGTCGTCATCGCGGTTGTCGTCGTACTCCTTTGGCGTGTATGTGGCTCCAGGCGAAGGTACTCATCCTTAATGCCATGACACGTTAGTCGATTTTCAACCTTCATTGTCAGACTTCAAAGCATTGACAATCGTGTGTTTAAACATAATTACATTCAGACATAAACAAAGGCTTGAAGTAAAATCCCTATATCAGAAGTTCTTTACATCCAGTGTGAAGGAATCAGAATGTTTGTAACTTGACGTCAGCAATGAAGTTCCCCTTCACTTACACTGATGCTGTTTCCTCCCATATATACAGACATACAGAAGACGGAGCCAAGCCGACTGGTTCCCGCACATCTCTAGGACTGGTTAGTTGTCTCACGTTTATCTTGTCTGTACGCTCTGTATGCGTCAAACACATCTGTAGATTTTAAACAGTTCTAACACATTATGTCTAGTTTAAATATCACTTTGAATGGATGTTAATTGATACTTCACAATGTTGTAATATATTTTTTACCAAACTGCTGGCAGTCCACTTCTTACTTCAACAGTAACAAACGTACCGATCAGCTGGACTCTAAATACCGTTGATGTATATTTTTAACCAAGGACTTTGTGTATCCGATAAGTGTAGATTGGCATGGCTCCCACGGCTGAAAGCTATGTAAACCAAATGTCATTTATTCTAGGTAAGTGAATATCACAAAACGACGTTCCGCGGTCGTTACCAAGCAAACTGTAATCACCAGTCAGTACGATTTCTCTTTAAACACGTACGCGTACGTGGAAGTGTGGTAAAATCAACTCTAATTTATATTTCTTCTTTCAAGATTCCCACAAACACTTCCTCGCCTGGTACAGATGTCCTGGCATCAACTGTCCCCGATGTCATCAAGGTGTCAGCTGCACAACAAGTACCCTGTGACCTCACAGATGAGTATGACGTCATCGTAGAGGGAGGCGACAACGGGCTGGGGGTGGCTCCCTCTGCCGGCGACCAGGGGGACTACGTGGACATCACAGATGATATGACTGGGGCGGCTGTGTATTCCCTAGCGCAGCAAGTCCCGGTGAAACAGGTGAAGGGCGGTACTCCAGCTGGCAGAGTACTTCTGAGACCACGCCTGGCGTAGTTCTGGAGAAGGGAGACGCTTGGCAGATGACGACATACAACAGACTGGACGAGGGGTGACGCTCCTGAGACCACGCCTGGCGTAGATAGTACATACAACAGACTGGCGATACAACAGACTGGGCGCTCGTGAGACGTAGATAGTACATACAACAGACTGGACAAGGATGGCGCCCTGAGACCACGCCGGGCGTAGATAGTACATACAACAGACTGGACAAAGATGGCGCTCGTGAGACCACGCCTGAGACCACACCTGGCGTAGAAAGTACATACAACAGACTGGACAAAGATGGCGCCTCGTACATACAACAGACTGGACACGCCTGGCGTAGATAGTACATACAACAGACTGGCGAGGGGTGACGCTCCTGAGACCACGCCTGACATAAATAGTACATACAACAGACCGACGCCTGGCGTAGATAGTACATACAACAGAGACTGGACAAGGCGTGGCGTACATACAACAGACTGAGACCCTGAGACCACCTGGCGTAGATAGTACATACAACAGATTGGCAAGGGTGACGCTCCTGTCACGCCTGACATAAATAGTACATACAACAGACTGGGGATGCGCACAACAGACTGTCGGGGGATGGCACCCCTGAATATTTTATTCTGGAGGGGCCATCTCAGCCAAATTGAAAATGACGGCACCTATTTAGAAATGATTTTATTTCTTTACTATCCATTTCACATACTACTTACCGATTGTCATCCTTGAACACAATTACTGCCTTGTATTCTGTGTTAGATATATCTACCAAATATATGTTTTGTCCATTTGGACCATAGTTACTGGATACCGACGTTACAACTGATTGCTATGTACAGCTGTGTAATCACTGAGTGTTCGCCTCATGGCCATACAAGGGACATACTTCCGAGACATCCATAGCTAACGACCTGGACTGCTTTTGTAACGATTTTATCAAAGAAATCGAAATAACGTAGATGATGACATTTCTTGTTTTGACGCATATTTGTACATATTTTGTGGTGAGTCAATGTACACTTGTCAGCACACAGTCGAGACAGTTCACTCAGTCATCATGGACATGAAGTGGACGTTGATGTATTGTGATCCTAACATTCATTTTTGTGGTATGGATCGATACTAACTGGTGCTAACATCACTATGATCTTATGTACATATCTTATCGGAAATCCCAAACATACTTCCCAAAGAATGATATTGTTCCATATGTGCGTTTTTTTCACATTGATCTTTTGCTTATTTTACAGTAATTATTATTGACACCCTAAAGTGTTACATTGTTTCCTCTACTGGTGATATGACGTTGGGAGTGCAGCTTGAAGTCTCTTGGCTCTGATGCATGTATTTTTATATCTTTTCTTGTGTTCAGTATCAGAATGATTAATGTTTACACATGATCTATAATCAAGAAAAGTACGAAAACACTACATGTTGTAGCATATGCCTTGCAACGAAGTTTCGCCCATCAAAATAGTAACTGTAACATATTGTACTGACTCCAACAAAAACAAAACTGATATTGAAATGTGGTAACAATTTCTCTGCAAAATGAGAGGCATAAACGAAGCAAAAACGTGGATCTCAACAGTGCCAGAAAGTATGGTGACCATGACTACGCCGCCAATCTGATTGTGACACATTCTTCCAGTAATGAACATTGTGAATGTATGAACACCTGGTGCGGACATCCCGGTAATCAAGAGATTTCATCATCGGAATCGCTCTGCAATTCCTTATGGAGTGGCTGCCAATTCCTGTAGGTTTTGAACTGGAGGATCTCCAGCTTTGTTCGACTTTGTGACCAAGATAGTCCTGAAGATGTTGGGTTAGGTTCATGGGGATTCTTGCGGGGCATGGTAATGTTTCTATAGCGTAGTACTGCGCATGATCAATGACGACTCGATACTTCAACGGTGGCCAAACGTTTCTTGACAAGTCGACAGATATCCCTGTGGTTAAGGTTCAAGTTACCACCGCTGTTGATACAGGACATCTCTGCGCCATGCATGTCAAAGATTTGTCATCGTGTATTTTCTGAAAATCTTCGTCTCGACATGGCAAGAAGATTATGGAAAATAACCCACACACCACAATTTCAACTCAGTCAGCCACCGCAACTTCAACGTTTATCGCCAAAACGTGATCCTGAACAAACTTCGAGTGGTTTACGTCCGGAGAATATAAGGACTGGCATTTTAGCTATGACCAATGTTAAGGCTTGATGTACTGCTATTGTATTGATACAACCTTTGCCTGTTGTACTACTATTGTATTTATACAACCTTTGCCTGTTGTACTGCTATTGTATTCATACAACCTTTGCCTGTTGTACTGCTATTGTATTCATACAACCTTTGCCTGTTGTACTGCTATTGTATTCATACAACCTTTGCCTGTTGTACTGCTATTGTATTCATACAACCTTTGCCTGTTGTACTGCTATTGTATTTATACAACCTTTGCCTGTTATCCTGCTATTGTATTGATACAACCTTTGCCTGTTGTACTGCCACCGTACAATGTAATGCCATGGTAATGACTTTGTAATTTTTAAATAAAGTTGAATACTGTTCAATATTTCTGTGTTATTTTAATAGTACATTTAGAAATTGTATTACATTTCGTTGTTTGTTGGTTTTACGTTCAACTTAAAGTCGACACTTAATGCAAATTAAGGACTCGTCCGGGACAGAACTTTCTATACTCAATCAAATTAAGACAATGAGACACTTGTTAAATGGGATCCCACATTGGACGTAGTTTGTGCATTATTATGAAAATATATGTGTATCATACTGCTGTCAATCAGGTAACAACCGCGTCGATGAAAAGTGGATTACATGATTTTATTGAAAAAATACTGCATGATGTTCGATGATCTATACTGATAAAACTGTTGGAACAGAAGAAGTAAATAGTGTGACCTCCTTGGGCGACCGCGACGGCCACACCATCTCCTCGTGGACAGGAGAACCTGTCGGAACACTCAAACCATGAACCATTGGCCATGAATAGCGCTTCATAACATGGAAAATACAACGGAATGTCTTGAGCATACGTACAGTAGAAATCGTTTTCTTGAACCTAGTGGGATCGACGCTAAACGTGATCAGACGTTTGTGTGTAGGATAGTAGTATTTGAAAACTATCTATACATTGTTATTGTCTACAACTGAGAATATGTTTTACAAGATTTAGATACAGAAATGTTCCATTTATGACAGAGGCTACACTAATGTACCGTCATACTATGTATGATAATGTCCTCAATGTAGGCTTACTGAGAAAACTTACATAGAAAATGAAATTCATGTTTTACTTGCATGTGATGCTTATATATCTAGCAGATATAAATATTTGAGTAAATATATCAGAAATGTCAGCTCAGTGAACACATTGATGGGTATACTGGACACCCAATACACACAAACAATACATGATTTTTGCTTATATCTATTTAACGTGCAATGATAGGAATAAGCTTATTACCACTTAATAAGCCGATGTTTTGCAATTGAATATTGTACTCTGATCTGCTCTCACTGTTCGGCGAAGTTGTTGATGCATATTGTATACCTGTATATTGAGATGTATATCATGTAAATGTTGTACCTCTAAGTAGGCCTGGGTGTAAATAGAACGTACAGTATAGTCGCTAATTACTGTCTACCAAAACGTTTCCGAGCACGTTGTTACTTGTCAAACAAGTTCGACATTAGCGACATTCAGTGTTTGGATGGAAATGGCCCGTACACATTGTTCCACTCGGGGTTCCCCGTACTTCAGGTACAAACACGCGTAAATATCAAACTGTTAAGTTAATACTTTGTAAACGTCACTTTTTAAAGTTTGTTGAAACTAGAGTAAAACATTATGGTAAGGTGAACGAAGTTCATTAATCAAATCTAAAAGAACCTGACTTAAGACGTGCAACTGACACCTGTAAGGTTTGCCCCAACCCTTCAATAACCACGAGCACAACAACACAAGAAACCCAACACCGAGATTCCCAGTCCCGCGAATATCGACAACAACAAAGTCGACTTCATGCGAACACAGGCTGCATTAGATGTACCTTTCCGTTACATGTGAATGTATACCTCAGTTCTGTCTGATAATAGCTGTACTAGCCTATGAAGGGTTCAGCATAGGGGACAATCCCGACTACCTCAACCTGTTCTCCTAGTGTGGCACAATGGTTTAGTCCCACTCATCCGGGTGGCTTGTGCAGATTAGGGTATATGCATTAGTGACTAGTCTGTATTGGTTAACATGTCATGTCGTGACGCTGCTAATATAAACTGGGTATATGGGGAGTACGGGGAAGAACCCATGTAATGTCATTTGTGAAACCATGTGACGCTAAATATTTACTCACTCACTCATTTGTGAAACCACTGCCTATCTGCGATTCGTTAACCCAGACGATACATTGAACGCCCCCGTCCAGATAAACGAGTTTTACGGCATTACCATGGCAAGACAAACACGATTAGAATCTAATTATTAGACCAGCAATCTAGAAGCGGGTGAGTCAATAGTTAAACATACACCTTTATGGGTGACATCTTCTTGTTAAATGTATAGAGTACGTTTCGGTTTAGATCGTTAAGCTTGATAATGGTGTAAAATAATCGACACCGAAAAGTCGTTCTATGTAATAACGAGAAGTTGTCATCCCGCTCTGTGTAATAACAAGAAGTTGTCATCCCGCTCTATGTAATAACAAGAAGTTGTCATCCCGCTCTATGTAATAACAAGAAGTTGTCATCCCGCACTATGTAATAACAAGAAGTTGTCATCCCGCTCTATGTAATAACAAGAAGTTGTCATCCCGCTCTCTGTGTAATAACAAGAAGTTGTCATGCCGCTCTATGTAATAACAAGAAGTTGTCATACCGCTCTGTGTAATAACAAGAAGTTGTCATGCCGCACTCTGTGTAATAGCAAGAAGTTGTCATCCCGCTCTATGTAATAACAAGAAGTTGTCATCCCGCAATATGTAATAACAAGAAGTTGTCATCCCGCTCTATGTAATAACAAGAAGTTGTCATCCCGCTCTCTGTGTAATAACTAGAAGTTGTCATGC